AAATAAATAATCAAAAGAAGGAGAGAGAGAGAGAGAAAATCAATAGAATAGATAGTTAACAAGTTGACAAACGAACATAACAATAGTAGCAACAAACTTCCTATCGAGAAGTGAGCTTAGTTAGCCAACCAATATCAACTAGGAAGTATTAATCAGCTATTTCGTCTTGGTATGGGACTTCTCACTAAGATGCGTTATTGGAAACCGATCCAAGTTAGAAATGTACTCTATCTGGTGAGAACGCAGTGGTTTAGAGGTGAGGAGATCGAAGCGAGCCCAGGTGGTTCCAGTTTCGACAGCAACACTGCATTTCGAGGGTGAAAACCGCATCCCGAAAATGCTTGCATTGTTGCTTAGGGTAGTCAGAAGACTGCATTTTGTCAGCGTATTAACCGAATAGAACTATGTCATCGGCATATTCTAGGTCAATAAGCGGTCCTCCTGGTAGAAGGTTAACCTGTGAAAAATCTAATGAGGATAATGTTAACTCTAAAAGCATATCAACGACAAAGGTAAACAAGAGTGCATAGCCCTGACGGACGCCAGTTGAAGTAAAGAATTCCGGTGACAGTTCGCCATAGGCTTTCGCACAACTAGTGGTGTTCGAGTAGAGAGCTTGTATGAGGTTAATGTACTTCTTTGGTACACCTTTCAATGACAGACACTGACACAGAACCTCACGATCCAAAGAGTCAAATGCCTCCTAAAGGTCCAGGAAGACAACTATTCTAGGACCCCTAAATGTGTGTCTGTGTTCCAGGACCTGTCGTAGAGTAAAAATGTGGTCTATACAGCCACGTCCAGGTCGAAAACCAGCCTGGTTTTCTCGAGTTCGCTCTTCACGAGTTCTAGTTAGGCGTCTCAGTAGCTAACAATTTACGAACTATATTAGTTAGACTTATTCCTCGTCGCCTGACACAAGAGGATTTTTGTCTTTTCTTGTAGACTGGGACAATCAGTGATCGAGACCAGTCAGATGGTATTACACCGAGTTCCCAGATTCTACCTAAGATCTCCGTCAATCTAGCTGCTAAAACTGTACCATCAGGAGTCAATCTATCAGGACCCGCTGCTCTGCCTCGCTTCAGATTTCCAAACGCTTTCTCAACTTCATAAAGACTAGGAGGACTCATATCCAGTGAGGCGCAAACAAATACGCGCTTGCACCACAGCATGGTCTGAGTCTAAACAAGTGCTCCAGAATGAGCGGTAGTCTTCAATAGAGCATCTCCACCGATGGCTTATAGTGATGTGATCTAGTGAGGTCCAGCGTTGTGACGACTTTAGGGGTCGCCAGGAAAGATGTTTTTCTTCATGCTTAAAATTACTGTTTGCTAGAAATATGACGTGATCTGAGCACAGTTGCAACAGACGGTCTGTTCTCTGAGCCGCGACACCATAAGATTCAACCAGGTGTCTTTCCTTGTCACTTAGACTGCCTACTTGAGCATTAAAGTCACCAGCCACTATTACCATATCAGATCGCTTAACCTTTTGGACGAGGTTCGGAAGGTGTTGTAACGGTTGGTTACGATATTTCCCGGCTAAATCTTATTGCTTAGTATTCTTGACACAAAACACTGGACAAGTAACACAAATCAAAACACGGTTGAACAGAAAGGATTGTATTCCAAAATAGCAAAGAAAAGAAGCTGGAGGTGATGGCGAAAGCCAAGGCAAAAGGGCTTGAAAGCGAAGAAGGCTAGAAGGCTTGAAGGCAAAGATAAATACAATGCTAGTCTATTTATAGCCTTTTCATGAGAAAACTTCTGGAAGAAAATTCACGTGATCGACTGGACTGGATTTGACCAATCAGCATGCAGCTAATAATACGAGAATTTTCTATCCTGTTCTCCAAGCTTCGATCAGGCGCTGATTGGGTAGGAAATTAGCCAATCAGCGCGCAGTGACGTAATCATGCTTTAAACTCCATCTATGTCCCACTAACACAAGGTTTCTGTAAAACTCATCTTTCACCTCGTCTGGACTGCAGTGGGAGCGTAGACAGATATGACGGAAAGGCAACAGCGAGTGTCCCTATCTTTTTGAGTCCTTACTGTCCTGTTTAGTGGGACAGCGCACAAGCGAATATCTACTGGATCTAATACAAGAGAGTCAGTTCTACCCTAGAACTTAACGCTATACCTACACCAGCAAGGCACGGGAAGTAGCAGCAGGGATTCCTGATACACGAAGAGTAAATCTAGCTGGTTCTTTCTTTTGACATGGTGACGTCAAATGAATGACGCTACTCGGATCCTGTATGCGCGTTTCCGAGACGCAGCATACATTGATGGCGCGAGATTCTAAAGTCCCAGCTAAGGAAATCTGTTGTCTTGTTTGACACAATGTCCGGACATTAAAAGCTCCAGGAATAGCGTTTTGTGAACTCGAATCGTTTGCATTAGCGGTGCAGCGTGATAAAGGGATGTGAGGAAGGTGAGTCGTGGAGATAAAAATGATTAAGAGGTGTAGGAAGGATTGGATTTTGACCAATTTGGTCCCGTGTGTTGCTACAGGTATGAGGGCAGATGTTATTTCCCGGCTGCCCACACCATGGTTGTTTCTTGGGGAACCTAAAAGGAAGGTAGATGCCAGAGAGACCTGCCTGGCATGGTACGGCCTACATAAACACATTTTCCAGTCAACATAGCTCGGTTGGGTCACCACGATAGGCAAGCCCTACCACCACGACAAGGTAGCAGCTACGGTCGGGCCTAAACATGAACAAAAAAACAATATGATCACTACTAGCCAATTGCTGTAGAATATTTAGACAAGCAATATCGTCGGATACATTAGTGGTTACTCACTCTATCAAAGATCGTTGGTTGGAACCAGAACGTATGGGTTCGAGTACATGCTCTACTAAAGCATGTCTCATTAAAGTCACCAGAGGTCTACTATCGAAAGACTTTTCAGATCCTACGGTTGACACCTCTGTTCAATCTATATCAGGTGCACTAAAATCACCTAATCTCATGCATTGTTATTTCTACTCTACAGCCGACCGTTCTCTGGAATAAAGTTAACTCAGCAGCTTGGGCTATGATAGATAGCACCGAGCATGAAGGTACAACCTACAAAAGTGAGTTCACAGATAGTGACTTCACAGGTTCCACTACACAAGAGAATGGATATTGATATTAATAATTGAGTATACAAGGAATCCATCCCCTTCTATGCACCTGTTAGGCAGCTGTACCCCGATAATTCAGGAGTTGCATCAAATTCATGGACTAAACAAGTTTCAGTCGCTGCTATGAATCGTTTTAACTCATCCACTATAACTCTATTTCATGTAACTTATTTCCCGGACTAGAAGCATTTGTAAATACAATTCTTGATACAATTCGTTTTCGAGACCTGACTAATCGAAAACCTACTAAACGAGGACCTTCAGTCAGTCAGTCAGTCAGTTGCAACGTAGAACTTCGTACGTATGTACATAAGTTCATGTTGCCATACCACATTATTAGCACAGAGACGCAAATGTCAAATCAAATCCCATAGTGATAAAGATGGTAGAGGTATTAATGTTATAATAAAGAAGACTAGGGTTTAAGATATTATTCAAAAAATATAATTCAGTGAGATAAGGTTAGAAAGACAAAGGTAGAGGTGCTGGATAATCCAGAAGATTAGGATTTGAGAGAGCTCAAAGAGTGGATGCACCTGCGCCATTGCAAACGATTTTGAGCCATGTCGTTCAAGGTCTCTAACCATTGATGACTTTCGTCTCGCGGACCCCAACCAGGTAGTCTACATCTACCAACATGACTCAGTCCACTTGTCAGTGACTTCATGGATTTCTGCCATGTTTTGGTCTGGCCGCCCCTAGCTTTCTTCCAACCTACTCCTACACCACAAAACATAGCTCGTCGAGGCAGTCGGTGGTTAGGCATACGTAACACATGTCCCAACCACCTCAACTGATGAAGTTTCACCACTTCATCGATTGATCTGCCATCCTTACCTAGTACTCGTTTCCTAACGACAGCATTGCTTACTCGGCTGTCCCACGATATACAAGCAATGCTTCTTAAACATCTATGATCGAATACTAGTAACCTACGAACATCTTCTACTCTTAACGGCCATGTTTCACAGCCATATAAGAGAACGGAACGAACTGCTGCGCAGTACACCCGCCCTTTGGTTAGCGAACGGATATCACGCCTACGCCATAAGTGACGCAGGTTGGCAAAAGCCGATCGAGCCTACTGTATCCGAGCTGAGATTTCGTCAGTCACCAGACCGTCAGCACTGATGAGACTCCCAAGATAAGTGAAGTGATCTACACGCTCGACTACTTCACTCCCTATCACTAGTTCAGGTGCCGAAGCAACCCAGTCTTGAAGCAACATTTTGCATTTGGAGGGGGAAAACCGCATCCCGAACATGCTCGCATTGTTGCTTATGGTAGTCAGAAGACTCTGCATTTTGTCAGCGTCTTCACCGAATAGAACTATGTCATCGGCATATTCTAGATCAGTAAGCGACTTTCCTGGTAGAAGGTCAACCCCTGAAACATCTGACGAGCTTAATGTTAACTCTTTCACCTACTTTGCCGATGGGTTTCTAGTTCATCTAGAGCTACCTTCCATTTTATTTTATCTTTTAAAAACATACCAGGTCTTACTCGAATGTCGGTACAATCTTGACGTCAAGCATTAATTAAGAGAGGGTCCTCTTGAGTATAGTTTTAAGTTGTGAGTTCGGAGTATTCTGTGGCTTAGAGATAGAGCCTACTAAAGACTTATCAGCTGAACGTGTTGTTTGTGGGAGCGGTTTTTCGCCTTACTTTTTGCACATCCGCCACGCTAATGACCTATATCAGCACAATATTAGGCAGTAACGGTCTCGTTCGGATCTCCAGAAACAAATTCAGGGTCCTGACCTCCAATAGGCAGTGCGATTTCATTTTTAGTTTGTTTTGAAGGAAATTCTCCTTTTACATTATGTAGCCTGGGATTTGGTTCCTTCCTTAACTGTAGGTAATGAACGAGCACACATTTCGCAGTCAGTGCTTGAGTGGCCAGTACAACTATCTCCAGCCTTCTCATAGACCAAAGTCAGAAGACATCGCCTCCTAAACCACTAACGTTCGATAAACCACATAGGATTTAGGCTAAAAGCAACTTTTGTATGCAACTGGTTTCTAACGAGTTTAGATCTTGTGGAACCGTTTGTTACACTCATCACAATGCATTCTTTCAGAAGGGATGAGCAATTTAGTTATGCATATTTATGGATAGAGCAAATAACCGTAATCAGATTATGAAGTTTGGAAAATCTACAAAATACACAAGATTCTACTTGGTGTAAGAATTAACAAAACTTAAGTATCACTAAACGTGTTTGGACAAACTTCGGACATGTAACCGAAATAAGTTGAGTTAAAATAGACCAAGTAAATATACAAAGGCAAACTCAACTCAAAACAATTATGAAAATGACTGCCTTTTATACTATTACTGCTAATCCGAAAAATTGGCAGAAACTTAGTAATCAGTTACACTCACTTGACTTCTGAAGTAGTCTTCTCGATGTATTTAACAACCCCCTATTTCGCATAGCCCTGATACTGTCATTGAGCCTTGGATTATTTGATTTACGGAATGAAATACAGATATGCGGTTTTGGAATACTCATAAAGACGGACGGTGAACTGTATTGCGAGCCTTTTTTGTGTAAACATAATACCAGTGCATATGAACAAAAGCTAGTATCCAATTTGTTTTATACGTGCTAGAAAAGGCCATTTGATTCCTCTGAGCTCGCTTATTGTCATTTTGTTATAGTTTCAGGCATCTATAAATGTCAAATAGATGGCAACTCATCCACTCAACTGCACTAATTTTGATCGGTTGGAAGTTATTTACCAATTTGTGTGTCCCGTGATTTGTAGTTTGAACTGGTTATTAAGCCTTCTGTGGTTATAAGGCCGATATCGTAATCTGAGGAGACATTAGAGAGCGAACTTCAATTGAGGATGTAAATTGTTTATGTCGCGTTGGGAGGAATGTTCATGATCTGACATTTCGACTGATTTAGTTTTGACCCGTTTCCTGCTGTCCATTTCTCTGTCGCTAGAAGGTAATTTCGAAACTCAGATGAATTGTTCACGCTTCACAGACCTCCAGACCTCCAGATCTTTGAATTATTTGCATAGATTATTGCAGTTAGTTCATCATAGAGTGAGAGGATAGAAAAGAGAGACTTTATAATATTTTGTATAAAAATAATCCGTTGTTCCTCAGTCGATGACTCCATAAAGGCTCTGTGGGAGTTTATTTTCATCTAGCTATATAGTCGAGAGTATGGTCACATTCTGTCAATACTCACGTGAAGCTTCCTTGGACATATGTCACCCGCGTCTTATCTGTGTTACTGTTTGAAAATATAAATGAGCTGTTTGCTTACAAACCAATGTTTACCTATCTTTTGAACCACACTTGATGTATCCATTATCAGGTAGTGAAAGCAACTCATGATGCCGTTCAAGAAGAATCGAGACAATCGAGGGAGGAAATTCTGTACATAGGGTGTACAATCTTATTTCCATTAAAATGGTCTTTCGAAAGATAGGAGAAAGATTATATCGTGTTTCATGGAAGATATGTAGCTTAGCAGCATAGAACGTTTTCTTCATGGATTTTGTAAGAACATTCTTTATGGATCAAAACCATACCACTTGTCCTTCTACTGAAGGAGAAGGTTAGGAGTTCTAATTTTCACTTCTGAAACTCAGAGTTTGCAGTTGCTCGGATCGCTGCCTACAGTACATTTTCGTACATTTTTGAGTCACATTTTAAATCTGAATAACATTTTGAAGCTTGGATTTCATCAGGGTTGTGTATACCGTGGTGAACTTGTCGTGGTGCAACCTGGTAACATGTCATAATATCCATAGGGTTCTGGACCCCTTAACTTCTATGATAGAGATCAGAGATGTGGTTTTATGATCATACATACAGCTGTAAAAAAACACAAAAATGAATAATTCTGCAGGTCTACGTGTTAAGATGTCCATCAAATATCCTAAGATAATTGTTTTTAGGTCTAGTTCTACTGGTCAATTCCTATTGGTCATCCTAAGTATCAACGTCACATGCTTCAAATGTTGTTTCTTATTGGTCATCCTAATGTCGCAGACTTCAACGTTGTTTCCTATTCGACGTAACTGTATAAATATGTATTATTTGTTACGTTTTATGACCGGATCCTCATTCTCTTCTGGACTGGAACCTCGTACTTTCCGGATGCGTGTAGAATACATGTTCTACTTCATATCAAGTCTTCTTCTTTTACTCAATGCAAGTTTGGGACGTTTCTATTAGAGCAGCCTGTCGTGTCGCCGGATCCTCGATCTTCGCTCTCGTTTTCCTACCAACGTAAACCCCTAATAGTTCAAGTATATCAAATCGACGTGTCTATGCGAAGTCGTAACACTACGATATCGACGCCCCTTATAATTTCTAGCGTCATCCTCCTTCTGACTTCTAGTTTAACTTGGCTTTTGGTATCCTCAACCTCAAAGGTTTGGCGGACAAAAGCGTTTTCCCTCTCATATTCACATGTATTATATTTTTATTATGTCGTAACGCATTTGGTTTGTCGGCAGAAATGCGTCTGCGTATGAGAGAGGCCATTGATTAATAGACTTCCGACAAAAGATTTTTTCGACAGCGCTTTCGGTCTGAATTTTCCTAAATTTGCAAATTTTTCTTGTTTCATTTCAAAATAATGCCGTAGGCGAAGTAGCCACATCTGCCAATAGGATTCCGGAGATCAACATAGTCTTCATCTCTAGGGTTTTTTCAGCTGAACAAACACTTAGAGTTATCCAAAAAGAAGTTATTGTACTCCATAATACAATAGAACAATTCTTAGATCTTCGGCACTGTCGCGAACTATCAGAGACTCCTCAACGAAGCCTATCTCGAAAAGATCGATTTACAGATCGTCCTTGACGAACTCATACGTGAGGTTTGCGTAAGCAAAGCTTCACAGTTGTTCACTGTTAATAAGGTTCTGAAAAGAAGAAAGTGCTACAAAGCCTTATGATTTATGACTACAGATTGACTAACTGTTTATACTTGAGCAGGCAAAGTAACGGTAAGTCATCAAATAAAACCCATACTGGCTGCCGAAGTAAAACGACTTGAAGTATGACAGTCTTCAATTTAAGTAGTACATGCCTGAATAAGCATGTTGTAAGGTGTCTTGGTAGAATAGCTATCTTGAAATAAAGGGGAAAATATGAGTCTAAGTAGCAGTAGTCGTATATGAATTACCTCAGTATCGCAGATACGTTGCATCATCCCCAACAAAAAGGAGTTCAAAACAAGAAAAACCTTCTTCCTTACAAACGTGAGTGGACTGGATTCATCGCTTTTACTGTCAGTGTCTGCTAGTCAATAACTCCACACTTCATCCTTTCATGATATTAGGCTCACTCAAAGTAATCGTAAGATAAAATACTGTATCTTACTGCAGGTTCTACAAGTTCCATATCTCATGGTAGTCAGGCTGTCACAACTTATGAACAGTGGGTTAGGCATCAGTCCAGTACTGTAAGTTACTACAGTAAGATGTTAGAGTTTTTATACAAGCTAGTAGCATTTATGGTGCAACAGTGAAAAAATACCTATTAGGTGGTTGGAAAAGTATACGATTAATTTAGTTATAATTGAAGCAGTCGATGACGAGATAAATGGGTGGTAAATCGGTAGGGTGCTTGTGAAAGCAGTCAACTGATGACAGGTCATCAGAAGCTCATAAAATAGAGTTTTGTACAATCCGAACTGGGTGATATTTACTCAGGTGGAAAAGAAACATGTTTAATTGAGGTCATCGAGTTTGTGGAGTCGACTGTATTGGAGTTTAGAGACAAATCTCTGTCGTGTAGTAAAGGAGCGAAAATATTCATATTTCAACTGGCGTCCACCGTCTTTAATAGTACTTAAAAGGCAGTCAAATTCGCCACTTATGGCTTGAGAAACATACAAGCCTCTGATACAGCATTAATGTTCCCCGACGATCATCATTTGAATCGATCATCACACGCCACGGTTTAAGAGTATTCGTTATAATTCACTGGTGGTCTCACCAAATCCAAATGAACCTGGTTGAAGCGAATGCTAAGATTTTCGATACTGGAAAAAACTGCGGGATGCGGTCCAGTAGTCAAGACTCTTGAGGAGGGTACTTGTCAGGAGATGAGTTACGAGCAAATACTATGCGTTAGTGCTCTGTGAACAGAGTGAGTTCTCGGTCTTTCAAAGAAGGTTGAAAGGGTCTTAAAGCAAAATAAACAGCCAGGATTTTGCTCCTGAACGTGCTTCATCTCGATTCAGTGTCTTGCAACCGTTTCCAGAAGAACGCCAAGGGTTTCCAGGTATTGATTACCCATAGTTGTAAGAATCCTTCGGTTGCTAAATCATACTCGTCTACCGTGATACTAATGTCAGGATATTCATCAAATATCCTAAAGAAATAATTTTGTGAGCCCGATTCCATTGGTCAATTCTTGTTAGTTAACATTTAAGGTCATCCTAAACTATCAACTTCACATACTTTTAAATGTTCACGGTCGACATAACTGTATCAATATGCATTGTCTCTACAGTTTTATGCTCTTCTTCTTCTTCTGTACAAAACCTCATATTTTCTGGGTGCTTGTAGAACATACTTTCTCCATCATATCAAGAAATTTTGATACCTTTAGTGGGGCCTTGGGACGCTTGGCTTAGAGTAGCTATCATGTCACTGGGTCATTTTTCTTCGCTCTCGTTTACCGACTAAGGTGAACTCGTATTAGTTAAAGCACACCAATTGACGAGCATAACAACAAATAAGTGATTAATCCTGGAGGTGATGCAATATAGTTAAGCAGGTGACATATTCTTTCACTGTATGAAATTCATTCTTCATAGTGTCGTACAAATTAAAGTTAAGATCAGAATGTGGTGATGTAGCAAGTCTACACAAACGAGTGTTGTTGAAACGTGTGACACTAAGAAAATCTTGTGAACAAGTCTAAGTACACCCAGTGGCAATCGGTTTTCCATTTGCTACCTGTAGATTTAATACTTGATTCTGTAGGCTTAAAGGATGTTAACTTCTGCCTCAGCTTCAAATAGATAGCTAATCTTCGTCATCAAACCACTGATGCAAAGAGGATACCTGTGTCCACCGGCAACGGTTGTCGTTAACACATGTTGGCAGGATAGTCTCCCGGAATTTTAGAAAGAGAGGATTTAGACTTTTGAAAACTGTAGGGTTGCCTGCACTTTTGAGAAGATTCGCCATAAGTGTCACGGTACCGCGACACCACTTCGGGTTATCTGTTTCTGTCGGTTTGTAAACGAATCTTTTCGAAATAGGCTACGTTGAGGAGTCTCTGATAGTTTGCAACTGTGCCGAAGATCTAAGAATCGTTCTATTGTACTACAAAGTACAGTAACTTCGCATATTAAGACAGTATTTATCACTACATTACAACCACTTTATTTCCACTATGAGTCACACAACATTAGAAGACAGTCGTTGCGAGCATATTAACCTTTATGTCTTGTTAAATGCAGGAAAGTCCGATTGTGTGTGAGTGGCATCGATAGACTTCTTCTGAGTATTAGGTATGCATGAGT